TGCTCGAGTGGATGGATGGATCGGAACAGAGGGGCTCATTGATCGCCCGGTTCCGTTTTCGTTTTCGTTTCTATCTGGCCAAGATTGCTCCATTAGCGCCACTCGCGGATGGACCAAAATCCAAAACGGATGGTGCTACAGCAGTTGCAACTGAAATGCAAATTGCAGGCGGGGCTAACAAGCAGGCAGATTTTCTCGTTGGTTTATTTTCCGAATTTACTTTTTCAGGGGGGCTCTGTGCGTTTTGTTTTTTGGCAAGCCTATGGCGGCCAAGATGTCTTCCTACTCTCGAATGGCTTTCAGCTGCGTGATGTTGCTGCTGCTGCTGCTGATGTTGCTGCTGCTGTCGGCGCGGCCAGAAATAGCATAAAACTCATAAACGAGGCAAGCGAGTCGAGTCGCGAGGCAAGGCAAGGAAACATGGCATGCCATTTGAAAATTTCATTTCGTTATAATTTTCTATTTCCCGCATGCCAAACGGCCCGCCAGTCAAGTCCCAAGGGGCCCCTACACTCAGCGAAAATGGTACAGAGTGGCCCTAAAAAGAGGGAGCCTCTGGTCATTTTCGCCCTTATGTGGGAAATATGTTCTAAGCTATGAAGAGACTTTAGGAGATGTGTTCTTTGGAGCCTACATCTTTAAAAATCTATTGGCTGGAGGTATTTTATAATTTATTATCCAAATTTTTACACTTCAACGTAGGCTCTTTTCTTAGTTTCAAAAATATTTATCTGTGCAACCTAATTTAATAATTAAAACTGTTTCTAATTTTAAACTTTTAATAAAAATATTAGGTTGATATGCATTATTATGTAAATATGCTTAATTGGTAAATTTGAAGCTTTGAAATTGTTTTAAGTACTTTTTTAGATCAAATTATTAGTTAAAGTCTTAAGGTAAGGCAAAGAAAGATTTAGGCAGAAGAAAAATATTGTTTTGTTAAGTAATAAAAATAAATACAACAATAAAAATATTTTTTTTAAATAAAACTTTTATATCAAAAATCTGTGTAGAAATCAAAATTTGTCTAAAAACTATTTTTTGTTAGTGCAGTTCACGACCGAGGAGCCGCAAAGGGGGCGGGGCAGGCAGGGTTGGGCCGGTCTGGTCAGAGAGCTAAGACAACCCCCTTTGCACTTACTACCTAAACGAACCAAGGTTTGTCGTATAGCGCCGCCATTCATACTTAATTACCAAAAAATAAAAAAAAAGGAAAATCAACAAGAGCCATCACAGACAGAAACTAACGAAAAGTTGTCTCTTCTCTGGCGTGACGCTAAATGAGCAGCCCGTCCCCACCCACCTTTGTGGAAAATCTTATGACCAGGTAGACCAGACACCCCCAAAAACAGAGATGAGATGAGCTGAGAAATGATGAATTGCGGGTGCCGTTGGGTAAGTTTGTCGCTTCCACTCGTAGGCGTTGACCTAAATATGCGAACTGCGCTGTGTCGCCGCCGCTGAAAAGCATTTTCCGCTCTGGCGTTTTCTTTCTGTTCGTTTTGTAATCGCTTGCCAAACACATTTCCCATTTTCTAACAAGTGCAACCGGAGTGGAGAACCCAGAAGAGAAAACCGAAACCAGAGTCGCAGGTTATCATCCATGCTCGGCTACAAAGGTAATGGAATCCCAGCAGTCAAGGTTCTCTGTGGTATGGTTTTACTGTGGAACACCACCAGGTATTGCTTTTCTCAATGAAAAATCTTGCCGAGATTATTAGTGCTTTGGCAAGGTGACAAAATAGAGACCGCAGAAAAAAAAATTAATATTCAATGCTGCGTGCAGCACAACAAGTGACAAATAATTATATAATACAGCGGCAAACATTTTTATATTTTTAGTACATCGTATAGTTAATACTACGTTGTGTCAGCCACTGCCAGTTTGTCTCCGCTTTCCGATAACAAACAAAAAAACAAAAGACAGGCCAACAATAAACATTGGGAGCTAAGCTGATGATTCTGCTTTGACTCGGTCTTCTGCCAGATCAAATCATGTTTTATGAGCAGCTAATTTACTTAACACCTCAGCAACAATAGCAACCACAGCAGAAGAACAAACCGTAGTAGCCCCGCAGCTAAATACAAAAGATGTGACTTTTATTTATTTTTCACATGGCCTTTTCTTTGTTTTTTACCCCCCTACCCCGCTTTTTTTTCGCATATTCAAGTCACACTCTTGGAGTAGACTGACGTTCACGGCGTGGGTGTAAATTGGGCATAAAATGCGACCAGTTAATTCATGATACTACCGATTCAGTCAGGTTCGAAGGCATTTTAATTGGTTTCAAGCAGAGCGCGAGCAACGTCGTCACACGGGGCGTATGAATAATAAATCCCTGCCTTTGCCTCGGCCGAAATAGTTCAGGTTGCTAAATAACAAAATAACCGATCCGAGTCAGATTTTGATTGATCTCCACGATTTGATTCCATTTCGGGGCTTCGATTGGGCTGAGATTTTAACGATCCGGCTGACGATCTTCAGGCTTTATGGCCCGATATGCAAATTTAGCTTTTGGCCAGCGAAGAAATTGGCAAAGTGAAAGGAGTTGACAGATTTCGGTCTGCTTGTGTGTGTGTGGGTGGATTGATTAGTATGCATTTCGATGAGTAATCGATTTTTTTATACGGGTGTACCAATGTGAGCTACCAGTTGCGAATCGATTCCCAAGCATTTGCTGCGTTCGCAGTCAAAATAAATCAGTCGGGGCAAAAAGTAAATATCCTGTGAATGCTTCATGTGTTGTTCATTGATGAGGTCTGGGAAGCCGGATAAAAGAAAGAGAAGCGAGCGAAGGCAGAAAGTAAATAAACACCAGATAATAAACCCAAAAAGACAAAGCGCGAGAGAACAGCTGATTGCAGCTGATTTCGTTTGGGGGGATCAGAAAAGGGTTGGCTCTTCGAGGGGGGGTACATGTGTGTGTGTGTGTGTGTGTATATGGGGGATCTCGGGAATGCCAGGGGGTTTTCCCCCACTCCGTGTGCGAGAGCCATGACGGAAGAGCCAGAAGCTGAAACAGCAGCAGCTAAGGAGCCAAGTGGAGAGAGAAAATGAATTAAAAATCTAATTGCGCCCGCGATGAAACAAAGCACAAAATCCAAGAGGGAGAAGACAATAAAGACACCAGCAACAAAAACAAATAAATAAAAAGAAAAAGGAAGTTAACACCGGAAAGCCGAAGTTCATATGCCCTTGCAGGTGTGGAAAAACATGATTAGTCTACGTGGTCGCATTATACCTAAGTCAGCTTTATAGTTTTATATTATTGAAACTTCTAAAAACTTTTTTTATAAATAAGGAAAAAAACAAATTTTGAACCGCTATTTTTATTTAAGATGTAGGATTAGTCGTCTGCTTTTTTTATTTATTAAAAATTACAACGTGGGTTGCTTCTCTCGAATGAAACTATGTTTGTTGTTAATGTCTAAAAATTGTTTCAAAGGCAACTATTGAATAGAGAAGTCAAAAATGAATGATTTAAAGAAAGAAAGTAGCTTTAAAATTATGCGAGTAAATCCAAAAAAGAAGATATACTATATAGATAATATTTGAACCTCTTAATTTCACCAAGATCTAACAAACTCCTGATCAAAATATGTATACCAACTGAGAGAGGGTATAAAAAGAAAAGCAAGGCAAGAGCGAAGCAAAAGCGAAGAAAGGCGGGGGAGGCGGCGAGGGGCGGGGCCGGGTGATCGCACTTAGTCGCATTACAGACGCAAAACTCCATGAACCGCGACGCAAGAATAATTACAACAACAGCAGTGGGAGAAGAACGTAGGGTTGGGTTCAGTCCGCCAACCGCAAAGGTCGAATGCAGACAACAACAACAGCAACTGTAACAACAACAACGACAACCACGATGACGATGACGTTGTGAGTTGCACATTGGAGCTAAAAAGCTAAAAAGACGGGCGGGCAGAAATGAGTTTTCAAAGTTTTTCCCACTTCTTGGGGGAGGAAGGGAAGAAACCCAAGGGGAACCGCGAGCAAAGTTAATGCGAATTTAATTAAAATGTGCAACTAGCAACAGCAGCAGCAGCAGCAATAATAAATTCTAGATGTGAGCATTTTTGTTGCCCGGCAACCAAATTGAGCCGGGCACAAAGAAAGAATCCAGTGGAAGAATCCGAAGAAGACCAGGGCCTAGACCTGCAACTCAAAAAAAATAAAACTGCAATCGACCAGGCGCATGCGCAGCGTTTGCCTGTGTAAGTGTGTGTGTGTGTGCCGGTGTATGAGTGAGTGTATTGCATAAAATTATTTCGGTCTGGTGAATATTAGCAGAGCGTGAAGTTGGCAAATAAGAAATTCAGCTGCAAAAAAGCAGCTAAATTTCATTCAACAACAACAAGGCGAAAAGAAAGAGCCAGCTGCCGCTGCATCAGAAAGAGTGAGAGAAAGGGAAAGAAAGAAAGGTAATGGTAGAAAGAAAGGGAGCAACTTTAAGGAGATTTTCGTATCATGTCTTAAAGCTGAAAACAATATTTCCCATATTGTGGGTTCAACGATCGATCACATAATATAAACTATTTTGGGTGGGAGAAATTTACCAAAACTAAAGGTAATATCTTTGAAACAATCCCAAAGATATAATCAGAATAATTTATAATTATAAGTATAATTTCCTTTCTTATTCAATTTAATTAATTATTTGGGTTCATTTGGCAAATACCATTTAAATATAAATGTAAATAAGTGTAATCATATGCGTATTCGGATTAACTAGATTAAAATGATTTGATTTTTATTCCCCATAATAATTCCCCATTTTAATTCTGTTTTTATAATAATATTTTCCAAGCCAACCTCTTTTTGGACCTACACATAAAACTGTAGCTGTAACTATGCATATTTTCTGAATAAATTATATATTTCCCATTTATCTAATTCATAACCATCCGTTTGGAAATTCAAATTCAAATTTTTTTATAATATATCCAAGTTTTTAGCCCAAATTAAAAGTTTATAAAGTTTAAAATCGAAATCCACTCACCATAATTTTCGCTCACAGCCATTTTGACCGATTCCACCACCGAGTGCGTGACCCTAATGGGCTGGCCGAGGATGGTGAAGTTGCCGGGATTGGTCTGCTGCACAAACATCATGTAGGATATATCCGATGCCTGCTGCAGATCGTTTCCGGATCGGAGCAGTCCCCGCGGCAACAGGCGCTCCCTGTAGATGTCGCACTCGCCGCTGCTGTTGCTCAACGCGAATTGGAGTCGCACCAACGTGGGCAGTTGCAGGTCATGTTGCTGCTTGTACACCTTCTCCACCTTCATGGTGGCCGAGAAGTTGACCCGCCGGTCGGCGGACATCGATTTGAAGACGCCCTGGAAAACGGTGGGCGCCGCAAAGGCCAACTGGGCGGGATCCCGGGCGGAGCAGTAGCGGTCCGATCGCTGGTGACCCCGATGTTTCCGCTGGTGCTTCCTGCGCTGCTTGTTCTGCTGATGCTGCTGCTGCTGGTGGTGGTGATTGCCCTGGTGCTGATGTTGATGTTGGCGCTGCTCCTTCTGCTGATGCTGCCGCTGGCGGCGATGGTCGCGCTTGTCCTGCTGCAACTGCTTCCGGTGGCCGTGTGGATGTTGCTGCCGGCTGCCGTTGGTGTTGCTGCCGTCCCGGCGACTTCGCGCCGTCTGCTCCAAGCTGCGATCCTCCAACTTGCTTTCTGGCACCTCGAAGGACTCTATGAGATAGCTCTGCACCGACCGCGTGCTGTAATTGCTCGGCGGCTGTGCTAAACTCTCTGGCTGATGTTGCAGCTGCGTTGGTTGAATGTGACGACGCATTTTACTGCTCGCCGCCTCGATGGGCATGCCATTGTATAATAAATTATTTATTTGACTATTGATTAACGTATTTGGAACTTTTTGCATTGACTGCTGCTCTTGCTGTTGCTGCTCTGGCACGGCAGCAACATGTTGCTCCTGCTGAACGGCTGAACTGCTGCCGGCGTCGAATACTGTTGCTGGCTTTAACTTAACATTGCTACGGCTACTAAGACTATTGCTGGTGCGGCTGAGCAGCCTACTTAAGATATTGTTGTCGATGTTGCTGCTACTGCTTTCGGCGCTTTCACTGCTCCCGCTGCCATTATCCGAACTCAGTGGTATATAGTAGCTGCTTTCTTCGGCACTGCCTTCCCATAATCTTGGCTGCAGTTGTTGTTGCCGCTGCTGCTGATGCTGCTGCTGCTGCGTCGTCGTCGTCGTCGACGACACACATGTGTTTAGTAGCAACATGTAGCTGATAATTAGCAATATCAATGGCATTAGTTGCTTTTTTGTTTTTAGACTCCATTTGCGCAAATGTTGCGCATACATGGCGTCCTCCAAAGTTGTTGCTGCTATTGCCCCGACTTTATGTACAAAATCTCGATAGCGAGTGTTGCTGCTGCGTATTGCTGCTGCTGCTGCTGCTGCTGCTACTGCTGGTTGCTGCGTGTTGCTGCTGCTGCGGCTGCTGCTGTTGGGGGGCTGGTGTGTCCTGGGTCCTTGCGATTTGCCTAGTCGTGACAAATGTGACCGTCGCTGCCTCGTCGTTGTGGCTTGTCGTATTTCCGTTTATCCTGCAAATACTTTCGATAGTTTCGTAGCATTTTGAGCGACAGCAGGGGCAAGAGAGAGACGGACTGTTCGAGGGGGATAGAGAGGGGGATAGTGTCTTTCGGACTGGTCTAACACACTGTATTCCTAGCATTAATTTATGAACACTTGGCCGCACTCGCTAGTTGCTGTTGCTTTTGATGTTGCTGCTGTTGCTGTTGTTGCTGCTGCTGCTGCTTGTGGTGACTCATTTTTGTTATCTGCCCAGAATTTCGCCGCGTTTCACTTGAGCGATCGCCAGGAGTCGACGCACGGCCACGCCCCGCTGCACGCCCCCCCAATTGGACGGGCCTAAGGTCGCGTGGCGTTTGATTTTTCCCCACTTTTTTCGTAGCGCTTTTCTTCACGAGGTTTTTCACGCGCGCGATCGTCTCGTCTCGATTCGTATTCGTATGCGTATTCGGATTTGGGCTCGGATATTCGGATTTTCGGACTCGGCTCTAGCTTCGGCTGCCGATGGGTCGTGTGCGTATACGTGTTGCTGCTCTTGTAATTGTAATCCTCGGCGCCAGATATACGATAATGTTTGTCTGGCCGTATACGCGATCTCTCGTCTCGTCTCGTCTATATAGTATAGCCGTAGTCGCAGCCGTAGTCTGATTCACGAGTCTTTTCTGGCACACACACCGCCGCAGATCTCTGATCTCTGATGACGATGATGATGATGATGATGGTGGATGGTGGATGGTGTTTGGTGATGATGATGTGCGATATAGCAGACGCGGACACTCAAACGTATCTCACGGATACGGATACACGGACGGGGCACACACAACACACACGTCTTCTAATTTTAGACAAAAGTAATTATAAAAGAAAAAACAGAGCAGAGTGCGCCGCGTTCAGCTTATACGCATATATATCTTCTACTTTGGCTTTGGCTAGATATATATGTATACGTATATACCCGCATCTGCTGGTGTATTTGTGCAACTTTTCGATGTCTGGGTGCTCACTAGCCGATTATATAGAAAAGTCGTCGCAACAGTCGGCTCTAGATATATATATTTTGTGCATATATATATGCAACATGGGCACGCACACAATCACACGCGCGGGCACGAGAATCGATCGTTTTTGTTTTATATATCTGTGCGTATATACTTGTATGTATAAAAGTACATAAACCCAGTGCAGACAGAAGTTGTTGCCACAATCTGTGACGATGCTCCGGCTGTTGTTGTTTTATTGTTGTTGTTGTGCTTGCCACTGATGTTTTTTTTTGAATTTATTCCGCAAAAAGTCCTTTAATAATAACCGGGAATCACTGATCAGGCGCTTTATCGCACACTACTCGCAACGAAACCGAAAGTCCTTTTACACGATCGATCGATTAGTTGGTTAGTTGGTTGGGTTCGATTTGTTCGGTGGGTCACTGCGGTTACTCCAGCTGATGAAATTCGCTGGTAACTCTCAATTTCTTATTTTTTCGAATTTATTCAATCGACTTTTCACACAGAATTTCACTGATTTCAAAACACTCCACTCGATCTGCAGTTGTCTGGGTGATATTTTATCAACGCCCTCTGAGTGTCTGAACAATAATATTTGGCTATCTTTCGGATTGCCGACAATCGCGCGCCCGTTCCGTTGCCGTCGAATGGTTTCTGCGGACTGTCGGTGGAAACTAACTGATTGTGTATGTTGGTTTAAAATTATTCTTTTTTCTGCTCCTAACACAGGCGGAATTTCGTACAATTCTTTTTTTTTTGGGAACTCGCTCTACGGAGCGACACAGGTCTGCTCGATTTGACGCCGCGAAAACGACTCAAACGTATCTCACCGATGCAGAGCAGAGCTGAAAAGTCGAAAACGTATCTCATGGATACGACTCAAACGTATCTCACGACTCGAACCCATCTCACTGGTCGGCACAAGTTCGTCTGCGTTCGGGCGGGTTCGAATGTCTTCGGCCCTCTCTTTTCGCTCAAACGCCGAGTTTCCTCTCCAAAATTTTCTCAAACCATTGCTTTTCTCTCAAGCATTTTCTCAACCCTGCAGTTTTCTCTCAGAAATTGCGAGTGAACCATTTGTTTACTTTATATTAATTACTTGAAGGCGATTTGCGGTTAACAATAGGGATATTTCAATTATATATTTTGGGTGCCACAGATATCTTTCAAGATTATCATTCACCATTAAATCTTTCGTAACGTTCATTAGGGGTTTTTTTTACAGATCCTTACAAGTGATTTTAAAACTCTCGTAAATCTTTATGCCAAAAATATTTTGTTTGTCATTTTAATAGGTTTTTATTGATTTAATTAACATTTTTTAAAAAATTAAAAATTAATTAGTACCCTCTCTTTTACAGTCTTCGTCTCTATCTCTGTTCCTTGCTATCAGAAAAATATCTTACCCTTATAAATTGTATTTTACTTAAATACTTTTTAAAACTTCTCAACTTTTAAAATTTTTGTAAAGCTTCAACACTTTTGTTACACTATAGGGTTCAAACTGAACTAAAAGTGTAATCGATCTGGTTGGCTTTTTATAGGTGTCTAATGACGTTAGCCGTGTAATATATAAAGCTAGATAAGAAGACAGTTGCCATTGGTTTTCGCCGCGATTTCCAATAACTTACTCATAATCACCGAGCTTCTGATAGGCTACTGTCAGCGCTTTCCAGTCAGATAATGATTGCTCATATGTAAAGAGCGCAAATCCTACTTTAATGAGTCATTTTTAAATAAACTTACAAAAACATAAAAGATTTGGCTTATATTTTGCTTAATAAATTAAAGTAACTGTTAACGATCTATTTTAAAATTCGCAGTATTTTCCAGAGTTCTCTTTAATTGAGCCTTATACTTTGATATAACTAATGGAATGTAACATGTTAATATAGTAATTGACCTAACTTATATATATATTATATATCTTAGTGCTTACCTTAGATATTAAAATTTATACAAATTATGATACTTGAAACAGCTACAGATTTTCTAAGAGAACAAAAAATAGTACGACTTAATAAAGCATTATCTAGAGTTTGTTAATAATTATTTGGAAGATTGACCAAGACATAAAATGTAGTCTACCGCGTTAGACTTTTTTTGGCTCAAGTGACGAATTTATTGTCTTTCCAGTCTTACAGCGGCTTGTTTTATGATATTTAATAAATAATTCTTTAATAAATTAACTATATTTAAAACAACCACCATTGCAGGGATGTACCAAAAAAACAATCTTGAAAAAAAGTTGTTGATCTTTAAAAAAAATAAACTGATTCTGCTAATCGATCTATCACAATATAAGCCATGTAAAAATTGGACCGTCTTAATATAGTTTTGCTTTCATCTAATAGATCTTCGCTCAACGCTTTCATTTGTTTTGGCTTTGGTTCCGTTTCTCCCCCTCCCCCTCCCCGCTTTTTGTTATTTTCTTTTGGTGACTTAGGCGGTGATTCGTAGTTCTTCTGGTGGCTCAGCTTTTTTCCCATGATTATTTGCTTTATTGTCAAATGTCAAGCCCACAACGGCGACTACAGAAACAACAAACTGCGGCAGGTGATTCCGCCCAGCGCTTGGGAGTCGTGTAAACTTAACGTTTTTTTACTCGCCCCAGCTGCTGATGTTTCACTCGCTGTTGTTGTTGTCAAACAAAGCTTCCACTTGTTCTACGCACTGCGCATAACAATAAAAGAAGCTGACAAAAAAAAGAGGAAAACATATCAGGGGAGGGGGGTGGCAAAAGGTGGGGAAGCAGTCGCGGTGACAAGTGCGACAATTGTAAGAAAAACCAGAAGCAAAGAAGGGTTCAAAGTCGGCCACTTGTGACGAAGCTGGGCCAACTTGGTCTGTGTTGTTGCCTGTTTTTAAGCCAAAGAAAAAAAAAACAGGTACTTACCCTACTAACCGCAACAAACCAGCTGATAAGGCTGCAAAAATAGCTGCTTAGTTCCTTATTGATTAGTTAAACTAGTTCCTACTTGAAATAGCCCGGAAACGGAAATAAAGCTTATCACTTGTCGCCGGAGTTCAGAGCTCGGGCAGGTAGATAGGCACATATTTGAAAAGCTGCAAAAAGACTCCAAAAAAGACTCCATTGTGCGGCGGATGGGAAGATTGCGGAAGGAAGTAAACGTTGGACAAGCTGCAGAATCCATGGATCCCCCACTCGGTTTTTAGAAACTGGCCGACGACAGACAACAGCTGCCAAACGCAGCGTCATTGTATCATCAACAAATACCCACATACACACTCACAAACAATAACAACAAGAGTAGCAAGCCAAGCCCACAAAAATAACAAACATGAAAACATAAAAACATTTTCCAAAAGCAATTTCAAAATGCGCGCAGGCGCAAACATCCAATGCCCATTTATCGTCACGGGAGAGGCCGACTAGATGGGACGGAGTTGGGAAAACAAAACCGAAGGAAAACAATCTAAATTGAATTCCTACTAAGCAACTAAACCACTTAGAAGTAAACTTTAATTCAAAATTACAATGGCGAAATGTAATCAAATTACTCAAGAACCCTGAACATAAACAATACACTATTATTTATTTATTAATGGTCTTAAAAATGTCTTCGCGATTTGCTACCCTTTTAGGTAAACAATTTTTTAAGCAACAACAAATAATTTGGTACACAAAAGTAATTATTTCACTGACCACAGATTAAAAATAATTAGACTCTAACTTGGACCTAACCATTTCTACGAATTCTTTAGCATCACATTACACAAGTGTTTTGATATTCTGTACGTCTTTTCAAAAAAGAAAAATTAAATTTAAAATACATTAAACTTTTGAAGAAAATCTGAAAATCTAAAACATACATTTATTTTTCAAGCTTTAAAGCTGTATGTTTCGGCAAATGTAATGGCCTAACAAAAATCAAATATTACAAAATGAATTTTTTCCCAAATATGTATTTATCGGGGTTCATTAAATTTTATTTTAAAATTTCCTTAAATAATGGGCTCCATAAACTTAATTAATTTACTTATCACCTGAACTTGTTAAATATTCGCTATCAGCCATATAATCATAAAACGTCAGAGCAGAATTCCATATTAAGTACTCATTGATTTCCGTTTTGCCACGAGGATTGTTATTGATAAGGCCTAAACGGCAACGTCACAAGTTGGCAATTATTCAATTTATATTTATAGAGTTTTACGGCTAAGACAACAAACCTTTGATATTGAGCAACCGATTTGATAGTGATTGGAACAATTTGATAAGAATTGCTTGTCTTTGGGACTATCTAACGCACTTGATTCAACTATTATGTCAAGCAGAGTAATTACAGTAATAGTAAATGAAATTCAAATTTGTTCGGTGATGCACTTGTTGCACAGAGCGATGGTGTTGAATGTTCGAGCAACAGGGTCTGGGTAACCGAAGACATGGCCGTTATAGCACTCTGTCCCTCTGATCTGAGCTCCACCCCCTCCCCTGCCAGCCTATATATCCCTCCAGCGGCTGAGACGCCGCTAAATTGTGTTAAAAACTCACCGGCCATCCAGCCATCCAGCCAGCCAAAGTACAGAACGCAGAAACCTCAAGATCCGAGCGGCCAGATAAACAACATGAGACAGAACGGAACGGAACGGAAAGTGGGAAAGGAGCGAACTGAACTTGGTGCAATCTTCCGCATTATGAGTAGCTAGCAGACGGCGAGAAAAGGCGAGGAAATGGAAGTGGAAATGGAAATGGAAGTGGAAATGAAAATGCACTTGGCTTACACCAGATCGGGGCAGGTTGTTAGTGGTAGCGGCGACATGTGGCCACCGAAGGGCAGGGCATGGCAGGGCAGGGCAGAGAGTATCTCAAACTGGGCTCTGTGACTGGGCTCTAATTTCAATTGGGTTTCGTGGTTGTGGAAATTATTCAACAGCGCTAAGTACGCCCAGAGACTTGGAACTGGAACTGTCCGTTTGTCTGTCCGTCCGTCCGTCTGTGTGTCTCTTATTTTATTTAGTCTTTTTTTCTGTGTGGGGGGCACCCACG